CTGATCTTCATTCAACAAAATGCGAGCCGCCACGTCCCCCCACCCGACCCTATTTTGCTGTGTTCCAAACAGCTGCAAAAGTGTCAGAGAAACAAGCATTTACTGTCACAGCACCCAGCAGCTGTCCCCATCAGCACCTCAGCCCTGCTGTCCCTGGCACCCTAAATTACCCTGTGTTCATTCAGGTCCAGACTTTCTCCCCCTCTGGCTGCCAGGAATTGGGTTTAAATAAAACAGAGCGAGTGAATGTGTGCAGAAATAACTATTTTGTAAAGAAGCATTAACATTTGGGGACTCCTCTAAAGAAAACATACATTCACTTATGTATAATACAGTAATAGGCAATCCCACGGAGCGTTCAGCTGCATCTGCTGAATGGGAGGTGGGATCTCACGAAGAATTTGGGAGCTTCCTTCTACTAGTTAACATTTTTCCAGATGTAATATTTTTTTCCATTAAAATCTCTGATCTTTCCCTGTGGAAATCTGATCCTTAACTCCAGGGTTAGCAGGATTAGGACTGAAAAGGATTTTTGGAGGAAGAATTACTTTTTTCTTATGGTATTTGTATGGCGTCTATCACAAGGGGAGGGGGTGTTGATTCAGAAGTGGGATTCCAAAGCGGTACCATAGGACAAACAATTAATAATCACAGTAATTATATGTAATAAAACTGTCATTCTCCATTATTCTGAGAAAATAAAATAAAAATGCCATCCAGTCTGCGTTGTGCAACGGGAAAGAACACATCTCTTGCCACTGCATCACCTGGCCTTTAAAATCTGATTGTGGTGTCATTTATCGCTCTACAGCAGATTTTGTTATGCTAATGGTATCTTTTAAAATTTGGATAGAAATAATACCTTGGCATATATTTTGCTTTCCCTCAGTTTTAGTCCCTACACACATTTTCTGAGACCGAAAGAGAAACTTGTTCAGGTTTGTAATTGCCCTCAGTCCAGGTCCTTGGCTGCCAGGACCGCGGCTGCGAGCGCTGCAAGGCAAAAACTCCATGTGAGCCACGAGTTCACATCTTCCACTGAGATATTAAAAATTAATAATCAAAAAGGCATTTGTCAGCGAGGGCTTTTTGATTTTCTTTTAGCAGAAATTTCTCTCCAGGCCAAACGCGGCATGTGAAGATTTTCACAGAGTGCTCTTTGAAATGAAACCTTCCTAAGAGGTTCATTTCTTTACTGATATCTCCTGCCATGATGAAATCTAGAAAAGGACTTGGGATTCCCATGCACTCCTCTCCATGTGCCTTTTCAGCAAGGGAAGGTCAGTGCAGCCCTGCCTGGCACAGGTGTGCTGAGTTTCTTCATCTCACCAGGTAAATGTTCATGGGTTGGAAAGGAGCTGCCAGGAGACACATTCCTGCATTACGTTTATCCTGCAGCTGTCCAGAAAAAGAAGGGATGCATGAGCTCAGAGCCCCATTAACGCAATAAAAACTAATATTAAACTAATATTTAAGCCCCTCTTTCTTCACCCTGCTCTCAGCAAACTGCAGCAGCTGTGCAATGAGTGCAGGTTTGCTTCCAATCATTGTGATGCAAGCCCCGAGCCCCAGCTCTTCGCAGTCCGTGGAAATGTCTCTAATAATGGGCTCTGGATGAGGCTGTAACAATACAGACTTGTTCTTGCTGCAGTGGGAGCACCGTGTCTGGAACGCAGGAACTCTGATGGGAGCACACGGTTGTTTTCCACTCCTGCTGTGCAGGTGACACTGAGAATTTTGAGAGCAAAGCTAAGTCTGGTGGTGGGAGCTGTGGAAATAAATGCCGGAGACCGAATACTCCAAGTGTTAAGTAAAAATTGCAAAAAACTTCTGTCCATTTTCATCTTCCAAATGGATCCAACTCCTTAGGTTTCCAAACTGTCCAAAGCAGCATGGCTCACTCATGTGCATGGATGACAGATTTCAGACCACAACTGATCAAGCAAGCAGCTGAGCGATGTAAATCCAGTGTTAGATTTGTATGAGCAGACAGCGGTCTGTGCTGGAGCCTTTGCAAGCACTGTAGGATTGGACCCAATAGTATGGTTCATTCTGAGAGCAAATCTCTTCTGCTGCTGTTTTAATTGAAATTAACTGAAAGCTACAGCCCATCTTCTCCTCCCTGTTAGAAATCAGTAGCTGTACTGAAAATGACTGAATTTTGTTTTGCAGAAATCCCTGAGCTGCCGCTGAAATGCCGTATCCTCTGGGCAGAGCATTAATCCTGCAGATGTCAGAGGCTTACTTTAACACGATGCATAGGTTACTCTTATCTGATTAGGGATTGTTTTTTCTTCTCCCTATAATGTTCTTTTTATTTGCTCTTCGAAATTCCCATGTAAAGTCTGCTTGCAGTTCAAAGGTAGCCAATTTTTGAAAAATGATAACCTCACCACTCGATCAGATTAAGCCACAGAGCCCACTTTTGGCTGCAACCCCCCAGCGAGGGAATGAGTGCTGCAGAGCATTTCCCACTGTGTGTTCTTGTACGCTCTGAAAACGCATATGAAAATGACTCCCCTCTTTGATGCTGAGATGAAATGTCCCTTCCCCAGTGTTCACGGGGCACTGACAGCCCTGCAGCCAGGACGCTGCCATGCAGGATCAGGAGATGTGCTGCAGAGGAACCAGGACTGGGGTCAGAGTTCCTCCACCCCGCAGTGACTCTGAGAGTTCCCAGAGACAAGTGACAGTGTGATGGAGCCAGACACACAGATGTGGGATTTACTACTTGATCCCGAGCAACATTGGTGTGAGCTGGCCAGGAACTTTATCAGTGTCAGACTTCTCAAAAAATGAAGAAACACTGCCAATATTGGCAGGTGCCTGACGGAGTCCTGCTGTAGCCACCCTGTCAATAAAAGCTTATTTATCCCTCCCAAATCATCCCTAAACCTGCCCTGTTCAGCACACTGTTTAAGCCTCCACTGGATTACGTGAACCTCAGTGCTCCCCAAAGCAGACTGTGCAGTCTGTTTCTCCTTTGGCATCTGAGGCTTGGTTTAATAGGCATGGTTGAGGAAGTAACCCCTTTCTTCTGATAAAGGCCAAAGGGTATCAACCAGGATATGGCATGAACCAGGCAAACAAAATCACCAAGGAAGAAACACGTTCTTCTACAGAAGTGGAACTGCAGCGTGACTGTACCTGCCCCTTGTCTCAGCCCCTGGTGCCCTTCCCTTTCAGATGTCTGTGCTCCTCCCAGCCAGCTGATAGCCCAGATAAAACAACACATGGTGTGGAATCACCACAGGACCCATCCTGCAGCTCCATCCTTTGCCCATCCCTGGGCAAACATCCTCAACTCTTTGTCACACCAAATACGGACCTGCAAGATCCCCAAAGCAGGTGTGAGGAAACATGCCCTGCCCATCCCTGGCTCTCCCCTTCTCCTACCCATCTCCAGAATAAGAGGCAGCGGTTCCTGTTGTTCTCCTCCTATCTGCTTTTGCATGCGGGCCAGGAGGTGCATCTCACTGCCCCAGGCAGCACTGGGGAGCCAGGCAGGACAGCAGGATGTGAATGAGGAGAAAAGCAGCATCACTGATCTCACATTCCTCAGGGCTGCAGGATGACCTGGGCCTGAGGGCAGCAATGAGGGGAGCACAGCTCTAGTTGCCATTCCTCACCCCACAGAGCCCTCCCAACCCTACAATGACAATGGGATCTTCCCAGGGAGGCACTGCCAGGAGAGGCTGACTGCAATCAGGGACTGAAAGCAGTGATTATTTCTTTGGCTCAGCTGCCATTCATTCAAAGAATGAAATACAATTTACCTGACTCACAGAAACACCATGCAACAAATTTAGTAGGGAGCCACGAGACCCCACAGTGACCGGCATCATTTCTCAGCTGACATAAAGAGCTCTGCTGAGTGTCCCACAGCACTGCTAAACCCACAGCCCCAAGAGCTTTGGAGTAGGAAGAGACGTTCCCTCACCCCTCGCTCACACCGTTACCCTACATATGGTGTTGGGAGGCTTTAAGACAGCACTGTTTTAAGCGATGCTTTGGGGATTTACATTTAAAAATCTCTGACTAAAAGTAATTCATTTTGCAGCTCTGGAAACGGAAAGCTGAAATCTTGAGAAATGACATTAATAAGGAAATGAGAGAGTTTTTAAATAATACAAATTCCTGCTTTGCACTTCATTGAAATATACCCACTTTCCCATAGGACAGACGCACACACACACAAGTGAAAGCACTTTGAATTCAGAGCGCACGCTTTATTTCAAGGTGAGAAAACATTGCAGGAAACAAAGGATGCTCACAGCCACATATTGCTGCTATTGCCCATTGCTGGAGCACAAGTCTTATTTTTCCCTGTAAATCTTATACTTGATCCTATTTTTCCAGAGGGAAAGAGAAGCTGAGGAAGGAATAAAGCCGGAATTCGAAGCACTGCTTTCTTCCAGCCCCAATTACAGGGCTGGATTCCGCGGCTAATTAGAATCAAATGCTCCCAATGAGTTCTGGGGAAGCACGGCTCGCACTGAACTCGGCCCAGAGGCTGCGGGAGGAGCGGGGCGGCACCGGGCGGCTCGGGACGCACGGAGCATCGCGTTCCTCTCCTGGTAACCGCCGACCGAACAGCTACAAAACAGGGCAGGGAGCAAAAATCCAGTGCACCCCAACCGCACCGAGACCCCGCTGCTCCCAGAATAAAAGGACCTTTGCGCACAGCCGGGGCCTAAGCACAGCCCCGCCGCCGGGAATCCCCATCAGCCCCAGCGGTACCGCACAGCACAGGGTCCAAGGCGCCTTACAGCCGCGCAGCGCAGAGAACGGAGCAGCGAACCGAACCGCTCCGAGCGGCAGCGGAGACTCCAGGCGGGAACGCGGCGCGAGAGCAGCGCGGCCCCGCACCGCACGCACCGCCCCGTATGGAAATGAGCCCCGCCCTCTCCACCAATCGGGAGCGGCGCTGGGGGCGGAGCCTCACTGCCGCGCCTTAAAGGCGCCCGTTGCCGGGGGCCGCGTTTTGCACTGGACGTGGAGCGCGGCAGCGGACGAAGGGAGCGGTGCGGGGCGCCGGGACTGCGGAGCGAGAGTTTGATTTTTTTTTTTTTTTCGTTTTCTTTTTTGGCTGATTTTGCTGCCTTTGTGCCTTTTTCCTTTTCTTGAAATCATATTCTGCTCGGTTTTTGTATTTTTATTTGTCTTTTGGTTTTTTTCCTCGCCTTCTGGGAGCCTGCGGAGGGCTGCGCGGCACCGCTGCTCTTCTCGGGGCGGCTCAGCCCCGCGCCCCCTTTTCGCCTCCCCCGTCCTCTTCCCCATCCCGCCCCGCTCGCGGCCACCAAATGCTCAACATGACCGAGGAGCACGACAAGGCGCTGGAGGCTCCGTGCAGCCCCGCGGGCACCACCAGCTCCATGTCCCACGTGGACTCGGACTCCGACTCCCCGCTGTCCCCCGCCGGCTCCGAGGGCCTGGGCTGCGCGCCCGCGCCCGCCCCGCGCCCCCCCGGTGCCGCCCCGCTGGGCGCTAAGGTGGATGCGGCCGAGGTGGACGAGCGCTTCCCCGCCTGCATCCGCGACGCCGTCTCGCAGGTGCTGAAGGGCTACGACTGGAGCTTGGTGCCTATGCCCGTGCGCGGCAACGGGTCGCTCAAGGCGAAGCCGCACGTCAAGCGGCCCATGAACGCCTTCATGGTGTGGGCGCAGGCCGCCCGCAGGAAGCTGGCCGACCAATACCCGCACCTGCACAACGCCGAGCTCAGCAAGACGCTGGGCAAGCTCTGGCGGTGAGTCCGCACCGCGCATCTCCGCGCCGCCGGGGACGTTCCGGGGGCTTCGCTGCCGTTCGCGCAGCTTCGCATCTCTCTCACCGCTTCTTTCATGCTGGTTTTTTCCCTTTCTCTTTAACATTTTCCCTTTCTTTAACTTCTTTTTCTCTGTCCGTCTTTGCCTGTGGAGCGGTTCTCAGAGCGCTTCGGACTCTTCAGCCCTTGCTCGTTCCTGCTCTTTCCAGTGCTTCCTACACCCCCGAGAAATGCTGCTTATTTTCTTACTGCTTCTTTTACAATGTCTTTTTCTCATGTACTTTTTTTTTTTTTTGCTGGCTGGCTCGCTTGCTGCCTAACAATCTGTAAAACTAGACAAGCCGATTTTTAGCTATAATTTTGCTCTGCTTTCTTACTTCCCTCGCTATGAGCACCATTACCACAACTGATGCAAACTTTTCTTGCTGGGCCGTGTGCTGCAGCTGCACCAAACCCGCACTGCTGCTGCCTGTTTGGGCTCCTCGGCAGTGTACAAAGCAAGATTGGGGCTGGGGGGAGATTTAAGAGAAAGGATCCCATTGCTTTGCCTTTGGGAGTTCTTTGTGAGCCCCACACAAAGCTGGACGTGGGCAGCACTGCGAGTCGTGGTGGTGGGGTGGCATTTGTAGGGTGAGTGTGGGAATTATATTTGGCAAAGGGATGAAAAGTGGCATTTTTAAATGGGATGGGGGGGTATTTTGTCTGATTATCAATATCGGTAAGGATGTGCTTTTTTCTGCCTCTATAACTGATATTTTAACAGATTTTTGCAGTATGGTTTTGGTTTTTTTGCTGCTACGGCAAATTTGTATTGAACTCTTTGGTCATTGCAGTGCGGATGTGAGTCAGAAAATAAACTGAAAACTTTATAAGGAAAAGACATTAATTTTGGATTTTTCTTTTTCCTCCTTATTTAAAAAAAAAAAAAAATCAATCCCAAACCAGTTTGTTAAGTGAAAATGAGAAACGTCCCTTTGTGGAAGAAGCTGAGCGGCTCAGGGTCCAGCACAAAAAGGATCACCCGGATTATAAATACCAGCCCCGGAGGAGGAAAAGCGTGAAAGCTGGGCAGAGCGACTCTGACTCCGGGGCTGAGCTCAGCCACCACGCCGGCACCCAGATCTACAAGGCAGACAGCGGGCTGGGGGGCATGGCTGATGGCCACCACCATGGCGAGCACACAGGTAAAGGGTCCCGGGGGGCTGAGAACTGCATGTTCTGGGGGTGTTGCTTTGTGACTTGAACCTGCCAGTGGGCACAAGACCGTCTGCATGCTCAGAGCCTATGCAGTGTGGGACTGAGGGGCGTCCAGAAGCAGAGCCGTTGCTCTAAGAGCTGTGGTTTTTGTATCAGGTTGTGAGTGTGGCCATGCATTTAGTTACTAAATGCAACTGGAAATGCATGAAGTGCAAAAAATGACTCAGATTTTGTGTCTAGAGAGGGGAATTAATTGTGACAGTACGGGTTAATAATGCATTGGTCACCTGAAGGGTGCCTGGGGGCGCGGTGCCCCCTGAAGCTCCCCGTTTCTCGCAGTGCTGTGAATTGGCACAGGGTACGTGTTGACAGATTCCAGGAGGATTGCGAACGTCCTGCGGCTGCAGGCGTGTCTGCGCTCTTGCCCAGCCTGGCTGGGACCCGGCCCCTTCCCTCATGGCTGGAACAGCATCTCTGCTCTGGGGGAGCCACGCTGGCCTCAGGCCATCTGTGTATAGGGGTCCTTCTGCTGTGAGGGTGACCCTGCAGGGATGCAGCACTCATTGGTTTGTGCTTCTTGCTGTGAACTGTTGGCTCTGTGAGCACTGTATCCCAAATTGAGGAAATAATGGGGAGTGAGGGGAAACATCAGCCACCTGCAACACAGGGCTCTATTTTAAAGTTGCCCCTTCTCCTTTTGCATTATGGACGGGGAGAAACATGTGGTTTTCGGCTTCCTTGAGAGATGTTTTGTAGTTGCTCTCCTTATAACTTTCCTGTCCCTTTGTCCCCAGGCCAGCCCCATGGGCCACCCACGCCACCCACAACCCCTAAAACCGACCTGCACCATGGCAGCAAGCAAGAGCTGAAGCACGAGGGCCGCCGCCTCGTGGAAAGCGGCCGCCAGAACATTGACTTCAGCAACGTGGACATCTCAGAGCTGAGCAGCGAGGTCATCAACAACATGGAGACCTTTGATGTGCACGAGTTTGACCAGTACCTGCCACTCAATGGCCATACTGCCATGCCGGCTGACCACGGCCCCAGTGCTGGCTCCTACAGCACGTCCTACTCCCACTCGGCAGCAGGCGCCGGCGGGGCTGGCCAGGTGTGGACTCACAAGAGCCCGGCCTCGGCATCGCCGTCGTCGGCTGATTCGGGCCAGCAAAGGCCGCACATCAAAACGGAGCAGCTGAGCCCCAGTCACTACAGCGACCAGTCCCACGGCTCCCCTGCACATTCCGACTACGGTTCCTACAGCACCCAGGCCTGTGCCACCACCGCCTCCACCGCCACAGCTGCCGCCTCCTTCTCCAGCTCCCAGTGCGACTACACGGACCTGCAGAGCTCCAACTACTACAACCCCTATCCCGGTTACCCCTCCAGCATCTATCAGTACCCCTACTTCCACTCCTCACGGCGTCCCTACGCGACACCCATCCTCAACGGCTTGTCCATCCCGCCGGCCCACAGCCCCACTGCTAACTGGGACCAGCCGGTCTACACAACCCTGACAAGGCCTTAAAAAGGATGCGTGGAGCCCCCCCAGGGCTTCCCCGATGTATGCACTAATGAAGGAACGAAGAGGAAGAACGTGGAGTGCCGCGATTGTTTCCCAAGTGCCTCCTGAGCCGCTGGGAACTCTGCTCGTTGCGACTGGGTGTCCCCTTGCTTTGAAACTCTCCAAAAGGACAGAGCTCTATTTTTCTTTAATTAATAAAATTAAAAATAAAAAAAAAAAAAAAAAAAAAAGAAGAGTTAAAAAGAAATACTGAAAAAGACTGGTGATTCCTTTTGAATAAATGAAGGACAAAACCATTCGACTCCTCTGTGAGGACTGAACTTGCTCATTGTGGAAGCTGACAAGTGCAAAATGGGGTGGGGGGGAGGTGGGGGGAGAAAGGAAGAGACGTTGGAGACTTTCAGGGTCTGTTGCAATGTGGGAGACGGACCAACCTTGAGGGCAAGAACTCACCCGGACCAAGGCGTACGGAAAGCGAAACCCCAGCGATTCTGCGTAACAATCTTGTGGGAACAAGCGAGTGTGGTGGGACCAACCAATTACATGTCTGAAGTGTTTGTTTTGTAGTCGAGAGTTCTTCTAAGCAAGGTTTGGCTGTAATTAACATTTTGTTTTGGGTTGGTTTTTTTTTTTTGGTTTTTTTTTTTTTTGAAGCTTAAAGTGTTTTGTTTTTTTTTTAATCTGTTAAATATGTATTTATGTTCTGTATTATTTTGTCTTTTAATTAATGAAGTAATTTTGTGCAGAAAAAAAAAAAAGTAGAATTTTAAAAGATTTTTAAAGATGGGGTGGGGAGGGAGCATCAAAATAGTGGAGATGACACAATAAAATGGTGTTATGAGTCTATAGATACTCTTTGGTTTTCGGGTTCTTTTTGTTTTGAACCGCTCGAGGGAGGCTGAAGGCTGCAGCCTCGCACAGACCTGGTCATGAGCAGGGAGCTCCACTGGGAGCTGCAGCACAGGCAGCACAGCGCTCAGGGGTGCTGCAGAAGCTGCTCCCTAAATTCGGAGGCTCACACGACCGGCCGGCAGCAGACAGCGCCGTGTTTTCCTGCCTACCTGCTTTCAGGCTCTAACATTGGATTGAAGGCATTGCAAATAGTTGTACGCTTTCAGAACCAGGACTACTTTATAGGAAGATGTAATTTAATGAGGAATTATCAACTTCTGCTTTGATTTTTTTTATTTTTTTTTTTTTTTACATTTTTTTGGCTTCTAGGGACCAGGTATCATCCATCAAGCTGTGAAACTAAAATCTTCTCCACTAAAAAAAATGTTTAGGTACTTAGTTTTAGACTAATATTTCATTGATATATTTCTACTTCTTCCATTGTATGCTGAGCATATAATAACCATCTATTTTATGATAACTTGTGCCTTTAAAAACTTTGTAAATCTAAAAACATGTTTCAGACGTTATCATCTTTTTACCTTTTCTACGTTTCCTACTCTTTTTCTAAAAATATTTTTTGCATATTTCCTTTTGGGAACGTGGGGGTGGGGGAAAAATACAGAAAACTCGTTTTTATGCAATCTATTTTTCTGTATAAAGTTTGAAAGACTTTGGCTGTTACTTATCTGTTCTCTTCACTAGCTTCTGACTAAGCAATGCTAACTTTTGTACAGATCAATTTGATAAAATTAAAAGTGGCTTTTTATCAAGTCTGTGTTATGTTTTCTTTCTCCTTGAGCCCATTGCTGTGGAACTTGGAATATTTCTGAAAGAGGCTATTCAGAATAAAACGTTGACCGAGGCTTTCTGTTCCGCTGTTTCCTTTTTATCTTGTTTTATTTTCTCCTTGTTGCTCCCTTTCCTTGTGTTTAAGCTGTGCCTTGCTGCAAGATTGCCTTTATTTTTTTATACTTCGTCAAGGAGTGTATTTCCATGCAAATAATCCCAAGGATTTCATAGGATTTTGTTGAGACTGCTCACGTGAGAAAGGCTTTGCAAGGTCAGACTGCATGGTTTGAGCCCGAGTTCATTCTGTTCTGTGCAGCACGTAGGAATTTTACAGTAACAGATTCTGTTTTCTGGTTAGTGAACCCATGTAAATACCTCTTAATTACGATAGCAACAAAATTATACATTACACATGGTGGTTTTTTTTTAATCCAGCCATTAGAATAGTTACATCTGTGACTTTTTTTGGTTATGTAGATGATGTTGCAGTTTGTTTTCAGCGGTTCAGACAAACGGGTGCAAAGTTCCCAGGCTGGGCCCAAACTGGGAGGAAGGGGCTGGGATTAGAAGTGCAGAGAAGCACGCACTGGGCCTGGTTGTGCTGCAATGCTGTGGAAAATGTTTGAGCATGAGGATAATAAATGTGATGACAATTAATGAAGCTTAAGAACATTGACGAAGTCTGAACAACAGAGTCCCACAGCAAATCTGCTTGCAGCCTCGCCAAGACCTATCGTGCCAGAGTGTCTGTAACTGGACACCATTTTCTCTGTGCTCGTTTACAAAACTTCTGGCAAAATGACTTTATTACACCGTAAGCCAAAGCTGCAGAGTAACTCTCAGAGCAGACTTTCTTTTCTCCTTTATCCTCCCTCCAGTTGCAATGTAAGCTTCAAGTCTCAGTCTAGTTTGTGTGAGAAAAATTGATGCCTTTTGGCTTTGCCTGCTCTGTGCGTTGTTTCGGGACTTCCATTCCGAAGTGCCATGCTTGGGGAAGGAAAAAAGAGAGAGATGGGAATATAAGTGCTTATCTTTACAGTCCCCTTGATGTTTAATAGCAGAGCTCACAGTGACTTCACTGATGTCTGCATAACTCTGAGGCAGAGTCAAAATGTCTGCGTTGGGTAGCAGTGCACATCACTCAAAATACCGACACTGAAAATTGTTGGCTGACACCCACTGCAAACCTATGGAGTAAAACTCAAAGACGTTACCAGATGGATGCTCACAGAGGTGACGGGCAGGGAAAGCTCCTTGCCCTGAGCAGTCTCAGTGACTCTGACTTCAGAGCGTGCTGCAAATCTCCCCATGTTCATTTCCCATGCTTAGTTTTGCACTCACATCTCCAAGAACGCTGATCTGTGGTACAAGTTACATACGGAGAAGAGCATTTTGCTTTGAAATCTTTGCTGTTTGTACAAATGCATTTTCATGCATTGTTCCTTTTTTCTGTGTGCTGTGTGGATGAAGCCCTCAGTACGAGACGTGATTTTCCCCGAGCTGAATTCCCGATGTGAATGGCTGCATTGTGTGCTCCCAGCCTGGGCTGGTGGCTCTGTGCTGGCGCGGATCTGGAATGTCTCTGCACAAGTCAATGAGATCAGGTGAAACCAAGGCCGGCTTTTGACCCCCGGCTGTCAACAAAAAAGGGTTCTCAAGATAATTACAGGAACATACAAGTGATAATAGTTCCTCTTCTATTTTGATGCAGGGAGTTATAATTGTTGCTATTTATCTGGATTGCTCGGAAGGTGCTGTTTAGTAAGGAAGAGGAAATTTTATAGCCCATATCCACATTGCTTCTATATGGAGGAAAAAGTCCCTTCCTATCCTCCTTGTTGTAATTTTTCCTGGAGTTTTATACATTTTTGTTACACTTTTTTTACAGTTAGTTATTCGATTTATGGCAAAGAAATTCTTATATGGTGTCCCCCTGGCAGTGCTCAGCTTTAATAAACCTCATGTGGGGCCATCACACTCCTTGCACTCCCCGGCTGCAGCCCACAGCTCTTGCAAGAGCAAGAGGAGCTCTCAGGGGTTTGTTTTTCCCCTTTTTTCTTCCATAGGGAGGGCTGAGCCCAGCTGCAGTGAAAAGCTGGGGAGATTTTGGAAGCAGGAAAGGGATGGAAGAGCTGAGGATGAGAATGAATCTGTTCCTAAGGGATGCTCCAGCATTTCCCTGCTTTCAGCCTTTGAGAGGCTCAGTTCAGCTCCAATTGATATCAGGTTCTTTTAAGCCTGCAGGCCGATCCGTAAGCAGGAACTCAGCAGCAGAAAGGCTCCAAGCTCCCGTTCCCATGGAGTCCTGTGGAAGCAGGGATTTTTCCCACATAGCTCCTGGCTCCACTCTTCCTTGGAGGCTCTGGATGATGCTTCTAGTGCTGTGTGAGCTGAGGAGAACCAAGTGGCTCCTGGGTCCTTCTGCTGCACCACTGCCAGCCGAGCTGGACTGCCATCACCTTGAGAAGCCCTCGTGCCCCTTAGAGGCAGGAATTAGGGACAGCACCAAGCAGCCAAGCACAAGGCTCTGTGAGGGAAAGACATTTCTCAGATGAGTCAGCAGAAGCTGAAAATAATCCCCCAGAGCCCAAACCACAGCAAGCAGTGCTGATGACAGCTTGCTTCATCCTCCTGCCGCCCTGCAGCCGGGTTCCCATCCGCTCTGGGTTCCCATCGTGGGGCTGAGGAGTGAAGGGTGAGCACAGGTCACATCAGTGGGACTGTAGCCAGAGCTATGGTCTGAGTGGAAAGTAAATTCATTTTGTTTCAGAGCTGTGCTGCATGAGGATTGAAATGGAAGGCGATGCTTTCCGACAAAACCATGCAACATGCTGAAAAAAAGGAGTTTTAACAGAGCTCGAGGAACCCGCATCTTCTGCAGCCTGGGGGCGCTGGGTCCTGCCCAGGAAGGATTTGGTGCTCAGGTGGCAGCAACCAGGGCTTGGAAGAGTGTCTGGGCGCTGCTGGTGACCCGTCAAGAGGTTCCCATATGGCTGCGGGCACAAGCAGACACGCTGTGTCACTGGCTTAACTGGAGTGTTGGTTTTGACCTGATTTAGTGAAGCCCATGGAAAAAGCCCGTTGGACACACTTATTGAGGTCTAAAAGCCGCCTTCTTTCAGTTTATCTTAAACCAATTAGGAATGAAAAAACAAGCCGCTCCTAATCCAAACTCTGAGTGCCCCTCCTGCCTCCCACCACCCGCTGTCGGGGCCGTGTTGGTTTAGGGAAAGCGATGCAAAGCGCGGGTGGCTGCAGCACAGGTTGGGGAGCGCCTGCTCTGCGTCTCCCGGCCGCGCTGGCACCGGTTCCTTCCCCGTATTTGTTTGTAGATGTGAACGCAGGCAATATTGTGACTGTCAGAGACGTGATATTAAAACATTTACCCAAAATACCTCCGCCTGCCTTTCTCCTCCCCTCGCTCTTCTCCCTCCTCCTCCTCCTCCTCCTTTTTTTTTTTTTGTGCATCTGAATTCACGACGTAGTGATGGAGTCCTTCACCCAGGAAAGGGTTAAGCGTTTTGAAAGGTCTTGTTTGAGGTAGAGTGAATTTTAACCACCACACACATAACGAATGCGAAACAGCCTGAATTGCTGGTGAGGAGCCAAGAGCACAAGAGAGGAGCTGCTGAATTTTAATGATTCATTATTGCATGGAAGGCCTTTGTCTTCCTTTATCCGGTGCACAATAAAAGAATTAATTGGACAGAAAATGGCAGGGCAAAGAACTGACAAGTCATTAAGGGGCTCTGAATGGCTGATTAGGTGCACATTGGGGGTGGAATTTCAACTGCACTGTTTCAGCAAGGGCTCCAGAATAATAATGGCATGGCACAGTTTATATTTTGTATGCAGTACCAGAAAGGCCTTTATGTCGGCATTGTGGTGCTATTTATTATGCTGTCTATTTAGCCATTGTTGGCATTGTGTTTGCAATAAGAATGCACAAACAAAGTTGAGATTTTTTTTTTTTTTTTCATTTAACTTCGCAAAGGCAAAATAATTGGGAATCAAAATCTCGCTCCGCGGATAGTTTTATTAATTTTTGTGTGTGTGTGTGTCCAGAAACGGCAGTAAATATTTAGACTTGAGAGAAGCAGCTCCCTTTGCAGAAAGGAGAGGAAGGAATGGGCTCCTCCTGCTCCTGCCGGCCGGGGCAAGAGCCTCGTGCAGCTGCAGCACTGGGTGCCCATCGCTGCCTGGGAAGGACACAGAGAAACATCCCACATACGGCTCCTTCAAGCCGGCTTCTGCCAAGGTTTCCTTCTTGTTGTTGATGTTAAGCAGTTGCCTGTGAGTTGCAATAAAAGCCACACACACAGAAGGGAGGGAAAGAATAAAAAAAATCTTTCCAGGCACACCGGGTAGGTGTGATTTTGATGAGGAATGCGCTGTTTTTTTTAAGAAGAGGTTAGCAAATATTCAGCAGTTGAGTGTCAGCTGTGTTCGCAGCTGGCTGAAAGTTTCATGGAGAAAAGGAACTTCACCAAAGATACGACACTGCTTTTCCTGAAAGTGAATTCATGGCAGCCTGATGAAAATTGAAAGCCGTCAGCTTCATGTAACCTCGACATTTTTACACATTGAAGATTATTCTTTTAATCTCTCTCAGAAGCTCACAGAGGATAACTCCACTTCTGGCAAGGTCCTTCCTGTCCTCAGGATCTGTCCCGCATTGGCGATGCTTTGATAAAGAGATGCACACCCACCCTGCATCCTGCTCTCAGGCAGCGAGTGCCTCTCATGCTTGCAATGGGTTGGCACGGATAAACCACTGCTTCCCAAGCACAGAGGAGCAGAATCACTGATGTGCCTCATCCAGCTCAGCGCCTGGCCCCTTCTCATGCTTCTCTCTCTGTTTTTTTCTCCTGGGTATAATGGGTTAATAATGGGTTAACTATATATATATATATATTTGAAAAAGTGAGAGAGGATTTGGGTGTCAGGGAGATGGATGAGCTGCAATCTGAAACTTTTTAGG